TGGTGTTTTTGACCTCTAGGGACCTCAAAACAAAAAAGTAAATCGGTCCCGGGTCCAGGTCTTACCATAAGTACTACGGTAATAGCTTATTCCCTATATGGGGAAATTCACTAAAAAGATGTGCTACATTAATTATTGTGTTGATTTATAAAATTATGTCAAAACTAAAACCATAATTTAATTGTACGGAGGTTTAAATTATGTCACCTAATTTACTAGTAAGATGGTCTAACGGGTTAAAGGGTTGAGTTTCTGCTTTGCAGCCTCAGGTTCAAATCATCAGATTGCGGATTTAGGTGGCTACTGATCAAGTTCCATGTAAATAAGTGTAAAGCCTACATAATCACAACATTTTCAATCTACTTCCAATATTTAGGAAATATTAACAAATTTACTTTATTTTTATCAACTATGAGCGAATTAATAGGTTATCATTTCATTATAAATCAATTACAAATGTTAAATTAAATTGAGTGTTCTAGTGATTGTTTAATATAAAATCCAATAATTTTAACCATATTTATACATTGGATTTGCTTTGGTAACTACACAAATACACAAATTAAACAACAATATCACAAGTAATAACCAAACACCCGCAGGTTACCTGGTTCAATTTGGTAGAGAGCGATGTTTACGTTTCATTTTGGACTAGCGTTCTTGTGTTTGTAAAACTATAGGTATTTTAGTTGTGCGATCATAGCCCTTATGAAAATACAAAACCTGTATTTTTATTGGAAAAGTGGTGTTTATTTTTTCTGATTTTGTTGTTTTTATTTCAATATGTTTCCGTTAGGTATCCTTCTAACTAACCTAGTGGAGGTAAATATTTTCAATTTACACGTGTTACGATATAGTATTGTATAATACAGTATAGCAGGCACTTATGTAACGATAGAAGATTGTTAACGATAGCCTATTATGTAACGATAGCCAATTATAAATTATAGAAGGGACAAACTCACAAATCAAAACTAAAATAATTATGGTGTCAGAGGGGTTTAAGTAGGTATTTGTCAATATTGCATACATTTCAAATAATCAATTATCATCAACTTACTACCAAACGAGATATGTAATTCAAAATCGTCGTTATAAAGTTCTGTTTATTATTTAAGTAAAATGGCAAGCAGTCCTATACAAAGTTTAACTCCTATTTACATAACCATTATTAAAATCAGAATATGCAAATTACATATTAACTAAATAACTATAAATTGTATATTGATAAAGCTACCTATACTTAACGATCAGTAAACCAAGGGAGATATTACAAAAGTTGGTCTGTTTGTCTGTGTGGAGAGCAGACCAATACCAGCCATCATCCCTCGAGCATTAAGCTTTTCAGCACACTTTAATTTATAGTTTCTTATAACGATATAGAAGTTTTATGAATTAGATATTCTTACCATTCGGCAACTTGTTACTTCTGTATGATTCATTTTTTAAGTACTATTTCAAATATTTTGGTAATCTTGAAATTGATTTGTATAACCTATTTCAAATCTGAGTAACTAAATAGCATTACTCACTAAAAATGACAGATATAATAATGGTTTTCGATTCAATATAACCTGTAATAAAAAGAATTATGTAATTTAATATATTTCTCTAACTCTCAGAATGTTAGCATTTTCACTCAGCATCAGAAATCACATAAATAAAAGAGGTCCACGGGAAATTCCAATTAAGCATCAATGACAACTGTCACTCACGATGGCTTAGTTCATAGTACATTATTAAAATAGGGGGTTTCTTATTTTTCAGACAAGGTTTATGAAGTAAATAATAACCCCACCGCAGCAAACCCAAGTGCAACTAAGTGAATTTCCATTTGCTTAGTGGGATTTCCACAAAAATATTCCCCTAAAATAGTTTTATTTATTCTATTATATTTTATTTAGTTCATATTTATTTGCTTTGTTAACATAACTGTTATAAAATTAATTTTAATGAGTACTTAGGTTAGCTACTGAAGGTACTAAAGGTAAGGTAATGAGGTGTGTTTGTTAAACTGTTAACAGCTTAGTATGACGTAAACAAGTTTGCCAAATTAAATAAAACTATTTCCATAAACAAGCAAACTACAAAGATTTATTTAGTGAGATTCGAAATAGTCAGTTTTTTTTTTTTATTTCCACCGTAACTGTTAGACATACAACAATGCTCCCGTATATTAAATTATTTGTTTTTTATGCTCTATAAAATGGTTTAGGAAGGAATAATGAATTATGTTTTTAGGTTCAAACATGAGAAACCCCTATCTTAACCCCATAAAAACCCCCCACAAACTCCTTTTTCCATTGTCCGATCATGCTGGTTCGCGAACTCGTTCGAATAAAAGTAGGTTTACATGTTTGTACCAAATTTCATCGGTATATGTTTACTCGAGTTATTGCTCTAAAAGACACACACCCACATATACACAGACACACACATGATGAATTGGTGTTTTTGGCCTCTGGAGACCTCAAAACAAAAAAGTAAATCGGAGACCTACGGTAATAGTTTATTACCTATATGGGAAATTCACTAAATAATTTTATCTTTAAATATAATCTACTAAAACTCTAGACATCATCAATATGATATGCTTAAATGAAACGGGTCTTGTCATTAAGGTTTCAATGAGTGGATTTTTATTTTTTTCATTTAGCCTATCAATACAACGACTAATTGGAACATATTACTAATATTTGCCATGAAACAATCGCGGGTAAGGAAATACGTAGGATTCTTAATATTTTGGATATGACATTATAGACTAAGTAGGCCTTCTGTAGGTTTCATTGCCGATCCCCTCCCTCAAATAAAATCACAGACAGCCCAAACTGTCATCAGCACAGACGCTCTGAAGGTCCAACTACAAGAGTCCTTCACTCGTCTAGACTGGAGTGATATCTCCCAGATGAATAACGTGTGGAACAGTTCGGTCTAACAGTTGTTGAACCATTAGTGAATATTGTTAATTGGTCAACCACTTGTTCATGACTCCCGACATGAAAAACGTAAGAAAAAAATCTATGGGTATATCATAGATTATTTGTTACACTTGTGTAAAGTTCTTTCAAAACCAAAGCACTTTCAACATGTTTTGTGTGTTAGCTTCAAAGCAACCGTTTTGTTAGTTAAATATGGAATATTCCAAATGATCACTACGTGAGACAATAAGTAACTATTGTAACTTATGCTTAAGTTTGACTAGCAAAATTACTAAAATGATCGATCTACAATAAAAATTTTATCTACAATCGGATTCTTAACATTCTAATTGTAAAGTGAATATGTGAATGTGTTAAATTGGTATGACGATACTAATTTAAAAAAAAACTCCTAAAATTTGAAACAATCCTTATTAGTTTAAGGAATTAAATGTTCAGTTTGAAACAGTAAAATATTGTCAAAACCTTATTGAGCTTCATTTTAAGACCAACGCATTAGGGTTTTTTTTTCGTAAATCGATTTGGTTTTTGCAAGCTTCTGGCTCTGGGAAGTGGGAATTTTACAGAGGAATTTGTTCCCTCATACTTTGTAACACTCCCTCATACTAGTAAGTGCTGCAGGAAGACTTAACTTAAGTATACCCCTTTTTGGGGCGATAAATTCAATAGATCACAAAATGAATAGACCTTTTATTACTGTTTTTCATTTCAATTATAACCTACCTCATTCACAAGGCTCTATAAAGTAAGAATATGTATTTGAGTACAATTTTATAAAGTACATTTCTAGGACTTGTTTAAATAAATGGAGCATAGAGATATTTCCAAGCCCTTACTTACTTACTACTATTTGAATATAAAAAAATAACTCGTAGAAAGTGTTCCTATCCTTGATTTAATTATAGCAAATGCTTTGATGTTTTTGTCACTAATAAGTTAAAATTTTAAATATGGTTCATTAGCCTATATTAGTATAAATATTGTTTGAAACCGTCAAATGTATTTGAATTTTCATCAACTTATACATTAATTTATCCACGACGCAGAGTTTTATCCATGAGACCGTGTAGATGCCAGCAATAGGAGACCCTTTATTCAATAAAGATAAAACGAGGCAGCCCCAACTGCTAGCTCTGCTATAACGCCAACCAGAATCAATAAATTTGTACCCCTATTTGAGCAGAACCGATATCTATAACTCGTTATCTCGATGCCTTGCCAGAACTACCCACATCATAACCCAGTTTGATAGTGATTTTGTTTTCTACATTTTACAGATTTTGATTAAAACTCCCCTTAGATGAAAAACTTAATCTAATTTGATGTATCACTTACAAAAACTAAACTGAGTCAGCTATTGATTTGAAATACTGTTACTGTAATCAGAGTAAGCATAGATTTAAATTATTCCTCGATATCCTGATCATACTTGGTAATGTTTTGTATTTAACAGTGTTTACATGGTTCTCGCATGTATTTAATGATTTAAGAGTGTTTGCTATGTTTACAAGTGTGTTTACTTTATGTCCCATAGTGGCTATACAGTGTACACCGCTTGTGTCTAAGAGTGGGTGATAGAGTGTCTACGTACCTTATATGAGTAATTCAAAGTTTTTACATAAATTATCACTCCGGTTTTGCTAGTTCCAGCAACATTTTTCTTTTGTGTGTCAGAGTGTTCAGATGGTTCTTCGTGTGTCTCAGAGTGTTTTCATAGTTTCTCTTGTGTTTGTTTAAGAAAATTTAAATTTGTTATCTTGAGTTGTTTACATATGTTTCAGAGCTCTTGTGTTTCAGAGTGTTTACATTTGTTTCAGAGCTCTTGTGTTTCAAAGTGTTTCATAGTTTCTCTTGTGTTTGTTTACTTGTGTTTCAGAGTGTTTGAATGGCTTCTCTTGTGTTTCAGAGTGTTTAAATGGTTCCTCTTGTGTTTCAGAGTGTTTACATGGTTCCTCTTGTACTTCAGAGAGTGTTTAAATGGTTCCTCCTGTGTTTCAGAGTGTTTAAATGGTTCCTCTTATGTTTCAGAGTGTTTAAATGGTTCCTCTTGTGTTTCAGAGTGTTTATATGGCTCACGCGCTGAGACGCATCTCCTACGCCACCTGTGATCCCACTCACTGCCAGTTCAGCTTCCTCGCCAGAGAACCAAAAGGACATTGTAGTCTTCAGTACTGCCACGCCTTCGTTACCAAAACTGCTGAACAGGTAACATGCTTTTACATGGTACAATGCATGATTTTCATTCGGTGAGTCATTTTCTTCTGCAAGCATATTTATTTTAATCTCATTGTGAGTGCATTGTGTTTTTAATATTATATATTTCTAGCTGTTGGCCCGTCCTACGTACGGGAATCAATTAGTCGATTAAGACTGAATTTAATTGAGAACAGCTAATACACGCGTAAAGAACAATTCTGGCTGCTTTAATAGAGAAAGTCATCTTGTAAACAAATATCACGTGATCACCTATTTCTGTCATCCTATTATAGGCATATACGATATGCATTTTAAATCTGATAATTTAACTGTAAAACACCGATTGTGTTGATTTGAAAAGCCACCAGTTTAAAGTGCAATTTCTACATATCACCTTACATTACACATTATCACTTACTGGGTACCTTATTTTACCTCTGTGGCCACTGAAACCTAAAGAGCATTTTTGCCTCCCATTCTCAGTTTCACCTGCCTCTTCTAATGTCGATCCCAGTCTGGAGAAGTCTTTCAATGCCTGGTCCTCAAAGTGGTCGTCTATCTTGACGTTCTCCTTGGAATACATTTTTAAAAGTTGATTTATCGCCTCTCCTCCACGCATAGCCTGTCCATTCCAGCCTTTGACTTCTGGAAAGCCTGATATATCTGGGTGTTTAAACATGAATTAATTAACTTAACAAGTAAATTCTCATTTCTAAAGGTTTAAATTGACTGCAATATTTTACTGGGTTAAGATAGAAACTTCTAGTTTCCGTTGTTAGTTTTCTTTTATCACGACTATCAGAATGAGGGGTCACTCCACGGGGCTTAAAATTTCAATTTTTTTAGTTTTCTTGAAATCCCCTGTTTTGGGTTGGCGAACCAAGTAGCAATTAGGCTCAAAAAGTACTTCATAACATGTCATAGATGTGTGCAGAGTTTAGTTTTTCTAGTGTGAGCCGTTACAAAATTTACAGGTGGTCTCCAGACTTGGAAAGCTGTAAGTTAAATTTCACTTCTGTGAATTCCAATTGACTGCCATTTTTTACTGGGTTGAGATACAGACCCCTTTGTTTGCGTTATTGGTTTTCTTTTATCAGGACCTTCGAAATTGGGGGTTACTCGGTGTAAGTTTTGGACATTATAGTTGCATTACTTATTTAAAGTAGGCCTACTATTGAGTATTTATTTATGTATTTAAGTAATACTTTTTAATCTTTTATTAATGGAATGTTGTTTTTTTTCGTTAGGAATAAAACAAACATACTCTTTTTTACAAATGCACTTTTTACAATTTTTTGTGTATTTTCATCAGTTAACACCTATTTATCTATGAATTATGGTCATCAGTTAGCTCTACCTCAATTGTTAAAAGGTATGTTTTCTTATTTTCGATCCCCTTGACAACGCAGACGCTTTACGAGTTGTCTGTCTAAGACTTCAGCATCCGAGAGCAACAAACGTAGGTTCACACAAATCTCACTCACACCACAAATCTTGGTTTTACTATTCCAAGCAAATTACAAATACACCTATGATGGCTTTGTGCAGATCCCTATGTTCAATCATACCTACTTTTACTTTTGGAACCTCAACGATTTACTTAGAATATTGTTCAATATTCCCATTGAAAATATTATAACATAGAGGTATTCAAATATGATATAGGATTAGATAACATAACGTAAAAGGTAAAAGTAAGTGTGTAGAATATCTTTGGCAAGTATATCGAGAGAAGAGGCGAGACCGAGTGCTTTGATACATCGCGCATCAGTTGATACTGTGGCTTAAGCGAGGGAATAACTTACTTTACATGTAAATCCTTTCGGAGAAGGATCTTCTATGCAAATACCCGTTTTCTGTTACCGATCCTATTATTGACTATTTACACCGACGTAGGATACTCTGCATCGACATATTGTATACTATACAGGGTGTCCTGTAACTCTCTGGACACATGTATATAGCGTCATTGCTTAGGCCAAGACAGACACATGTCACCATAGGAACATGGGTCTGTGGTGCCTAGTTTTCCGTCTGTCTATATTTATGTGTTTTTTTACAAACAAATGCATAACTCAAAAACTGTTTGAGATACAGCATTTAGATTTTGTTTAATGTTTATCTTATTAAGATTTTTTCTTGTTTAAAATTATACGAACAAATCATTAACCGTTTCAAAATGACAGCCAATAAAACAACTTTATGTCGAATTTCACGAAACCCGCTAACTTTACAACAAAACTGAATGAGACAAAAAAGTTAGTAGTAGGTATTCATATAGTATTCAATGATACCTTATTTGGTAAGAATGGAAAATAATAACAGAGAAATAACTTCTTTTACAAATGCATGACCATTTTTCTCCTTTTAAACAATGCTACCACTCCTTTTACATTGTCTAAATATCTTTACAATAATCTGCTATACGTCAATCAGGTGTTTAAAACATAACAGCTGATTCAATCTTTTTTGTTGATTGTATAACTTGTTGTTCAGGCAAACGCTATATACATGTGTCCAGAGAGTTACGGGTCATTCTGTATTTACCAACATTATTATGAGGTGTTTGGAGACTATGTTTGATGCTAAAGAAAGACTGACCACAGTGATATTTTTCCTTAGCCTTAATATTGTTTGGTAAATTAGAGAGCATTAGTAATTGTTTACAGTTTTAGAACATGCTTTTGCTAAAATGATAAGTTAGTACTTATTGATATTTATTTCCATATTCATTGCTCCTTTAAGAAAATAACAGATGTATACAATATTGATTTAATTGCAATCCTGTAAATAATAAAAATCAAATACAGCTATCACTTAATAAAACTTGAACGAATATGCAACTGAAGTTTAAACTAAAAATTACTAAAACCTAAAAGCCTAAACATGTGGGGTTGTTTATTCACGAAAGTTAGTTTATTTTCAACGTGATGTTGTGTAATTGAAAGCAAATACGAAATAACGTCACTCACACGAGCAAGGTAATTAGGACCTCAGGGACAGACAGTTATAAAGTCCACATTGTCGACAGGTAAATATATCTGGCTTGTTAAAACATTTAGTTTACCTTCGTGTAACGTTAAAATCATCCATGTTGAAGTTTGCTATGCAATTGGAATATTTTTATGAAGACAGACGTTCGTGGTTGTAGACTTACTTGCAGACAAGTGATTGATAGTTTAAAACTATTCAGATTTCCAAGAGTCAGGGCATACTATACGCCTAGGGAACGCGGGAGTGAGCACCACATAGCAGACTACTGTTTGTAGCTGACGGGTCTTGCCAAGTACTTCATGCTGGCATAGACTAATTCTATGATGATGGTCTATGCAACTGTTGAACTCTGTTATTTACTAACTTACCAATTATCAGTTTTGAGATTGCCATTGAGGGTTTATAGTCAACGGTTTTACTAAAATTGATACTGAACGTTTCCTGAACACTGCCATATTCGCTTTGTGCATTCTTAAACCTTAAAGTTTATATTGATAACATGTTTTTAGAACTGTGTACTAAAAACTACTTTGAACTGTGTACTAAAAGCTAATTTAAGTATTTGGTTGTTTTATATCATATTGCACTTGTATCAGACTGTTTACAAAACCCATAAATCATAACAAGTTGAAGCTTTGAAAACGTTTGATTTTCTTCATCGAGTTTAAGAAGTAACATATAAAATTTTAATAAACTTGTTGTATATTTCTACACACTCAGTCATCAAAGTTAAACCAAAAATGATTCTCCTATAAAAAAAAAAACATTCATTATGAAATTCGTTGAACAGGTACGTAAAATCATGTATATGCATTCTATTTACAATAGCTAATTGAAAATATCAATAATTGATTCTATGATCATACCTTAAGCACACGATTGGTCCAAACATATTACTTGTGAACAATCATAATGGTCTCATATTTTTATCAGTGGAGAGACACACGTTGTATTGCACAGACATTAAATTCAGAAGGTCGTGAGTCTGTCGTCATAGTTACCAGAAGGGCTTTCGTTTACATGGAACAACAAACTAATTAATTGTTGAACAAATTCCGACTCTAATTTATTTGTGACGGTGAACATTCTACAATATAAATAGACAAAAAAGTCCAATACGAAATATAAATGAAATATGATTTCCTAGAACTATTCAATGGAACAAATGAAACTGGATAGGAGAAATGATAGTGCCTTTAATTGAACCTAATTTGCTTGCAATTCGGTGTTTAATATTACTTTGAACAAAGATATAATATTTAAAAGGCTGCATGTTTTTTTTTTATTTCCAAAAATAAATATTTACTTTACCAGTGTCTGCATGACTGAAATGGTTAATTAACCACATGCACATATTCTTGGTAATCTTTCGTTCAGTTGTTTACTTTTGGTGTTCCAAGGTTTTAGTTTTTAAATTATAATATGAAATTATACGTAGAAATTCTGGTTCACCCCTTTTGGTAATATATAATGAACTGTGTTTGCTAATTGAAATACATTTTAAGGCTAATAGTTTAGTTTAGTTATACGTATTTAGCAGATTACCAAACAACTCAACAATAATTATAAAGATGCATCCAAAAGATGGTTTGATCAATGGTTGAATTTATATGTGAACAAACGTTGTAAGATGCATTTCCATCACAGTTCAATATCCTTCCATCGTGTCCAAGTACCCTCAGGGGGGATTATGGTGGGATAATGGGGGATTTCAAGGGAGTTTGGGGGGCTTTGCGGGGTATACGCAGAGAAAGAATGTACTCTCCTACGTAACCTAGAGGAAAAGGTTATTTAATTTTAAAAACTCGAGGTGGATTGTAAATTGTTTTAGTTCAAATAAATTTGGATTAGAATTGAATTCAACACGTAATGAATCACAAAATGAATTGGGATTGAACAAATAATGTGTGAATGTGTATTATTAATGCTTGACGAAAAACATACACCCTGTACAGTATTTAGCAGGCCAGCTGATCATTTGTGAGGGAGAGATAGAACATATTACAAAATCCCCA